CCTCCCCATAAAACCCCATGACCTAACAGCTGGGTGTGACTTCTTTGGCCCCTTCCTGGACCACAGAACCTCACCCGGGAGCTGAATAAATTGGCTTCTCATTTTCTCATTTAACAAAAAAAAGAAACTGGCACAGAAATAGGCCCACTTCAGTGGAGATTAGCTTAATATATGAATCAGAGAACTATTAATTATTTTTATTTATTGAGTTCTTATCCTGTTCTTTTACTCTTCCAGTTTCCTACTTAGTGTGATTCAACATATCTCAGAAAGTTCCATAGAGATATGTGTTTTTATCTAGGATTGTGAAGAATGTTGATTTAGGCAAGTGTAGAAATAGAAGTGGTAGGGCTTCTGAAAGTAGGAGTGTTTGTTCAGAGAAATGACAACTTCCACTTGTTAAGGTATTTTCCTGTTGCTAGGTTGAGGGTATCTGAAAGAAGTGGCTTCTAATTTTGTAGCATTAGGTACATTTGAACTGAGTTAATTTTGAGAAGTGTGTGCACTCCTGTCACTTCTAAATGGGGAGGGCCGTTTTGGTACTCTGATGTTTTACATTATTAGAATGAGGAAAAAAGGATTTTGGTGAAATCTCATCTGATGGTGAAGGAGAGGGGATGATCATCAGCATAATTTAATCCAGTCATTGGAATTACTTTACATTAGCTTCTGAAGCTAGAGCTCAAGGAACAGATTTTCAGCTCTGCCTTGGGTTTCATTTGAGAGCAGTTTCATTTTGAGAGCAGTAAACATTTGAACATTTAAAAATACCTGGAGAATTTAAATTAGCTAATGAGAATTTCAAAGAACAATAACAGCAGAAGCCCTCATTACAAGTGAACAAGTGGTAATAATTTAACATATGCCATATTAACTGTTTCACTCATCACCCATTTTCTTCTGTCTACCTTCTTCTCCATATGCTTTTGTTTATATATGTTTCTTCCATATCTAATGTTTCTCTTTTTCTTCATCATTCTCACTGCTTCCTTCATGTCCCTCATCCAGCTCAGATCTTGTTAGCACAGGAATGGCTACCATAACGATATGGAACTAAAGTATGTATGTATTTTTTATTTATTGTATTTGTTTTGTTTATCTTACTAATTTTTGGCCCCATTATTGTACTTAGATGTCTCACCTTCACCTGTAACTCAACATACCTAAAACAGAATTAATAATCTTCTCTACAATCAACTTGAATTTCCTGAATTTTCCATCTTTACTAGTAGTTCCAATGTTTATTAGTAGCCTGCACTTGAATCTTTGAGACTATCTTTAACTACTTGATTATCTATATTCTATCCATCAGCAAGTCTTATCAAATCTTAGAACTATTTCTCCTTTCTGTAGTCCTTCATTACATTTCTACTACCATCACCTCACACCATAATGCTGTTAACAACCTTCTGGAAATCTTTACTATACCTCATTGTTATTCTCTCTCTATTAGCAGGATTTCAACCCTGGATCATTTCCACCCTCTATATTTTCTACTTCTGCATTCAAGCCTACTGAATGATGCTATGGAAAATTATAAAGTATAGGGATTAGGTAAGCTTTCAGAGCCTTGGTACCTAACCTCTTTGGGCCTTTAGTCCCACTTAATCTGTTTCCTTTTTCTTCACTTTCCCCTTAGCAACAGTTTTAAACCTACATCATTCTTCAAGACTCTCTTCCCCTGCTCTACACTCCTCCTCACACTTCTCAGACAAGCTCCTTTGTTATTTTATCAAAAAAAATTTGACCATCAGATGTGGATTACTACCAAGTATCTTGGTTTAACCAAATACTCCTGTAACCCTGAATTCTCATTTAACTACTACATTCTCCCCTTCCCTCCTTAGCCAAGATATTTTTAAAATGTAATCCACTCTTACTGTCTTCACTTATTATTTGCTCAACTCACTGCCATTTGTTGGCACTCATTCCCTCAACCTTCACACCACTAGTCTACCACTTCACTGTGACTACTACTCACAATGCCAAAGTGACTTCTAAATTTGTAAATCCAATAGACATCTTTATTTAGCTCCTTTGACATTACTCTCTCCTGTTGATTCTTATAATTCGCTGTCCTTTGCTTTGGTGGACTTTTCATAGGTTCATCCTTCTCTACCATCTTTCTTCAAAGAATAGCATTCTCCAGGGTTTTATCAGTATGTTGCTATTCCTTTGCCCACCCATACATTATCTTCAGGAGATTTCATCCACTCTGATTATTTTGACTACCCACCCCCATCCATGTTCTGACATCTCCAAAATCTCTCTGACCTATCTTCTGCCTTTCATACTCCTGAATGTAACTGCCTGTTGGACACCTTTACATGAAAGTTTGGTAGATATCTTAGACTCTGTGTTCAAACTTAGACTATTCGCCACTGCCTACTCTCCTATCCATTAAAACAACACATATATCTGAAGTCCCAATTTCAGTTTATGGGATCACCACCCACCCACTTACCACATTAGATTTCTGGGAATTATTTTAAACTTCTCTAGATTCTCTCCTCTCCCCTATCCCTCACATTCAACCCGTTACTAACTTTTGCCAGTTTTAAAGTTGAATGTTATACCAATCTCCCTGCTTGTCTCTACCCCTACTGAGACCCATCTAGTCTGTGTCCTCATTATGTCTTGCCTGATCTCCTTACTTCTAGGCTTACTCTTCTTAAATTAATCTTTTGTATTGCAGTCACAGAAAAGACTCATCTAAAACACACAATTAACCAACCATGTCACTTACTACTTAAACCACTTCGAGGTTTCCCAAAACACAGAATACAAAGTCTAGGATCCTTAGCATAACATATAAGTCTCTCTTTGATCTGATCCATTTTGCCGTTTCCCATCTCTTCCCCTTATGTTTTACTCTACAACAATCCCAAATTTTAAGAAGTTCCTGTAAGCACTGTTTTCATGATTTTTTGTACCTAAAACGCTCTTCTCAATTCTTTTCAAGTTAACTATTTATCATCTCTCCAAGTTTAGCTAAGACATCATCTCTTACAATAGCCTTTTTCAGACCCCCATATTATACTGAGTGCCTCTGCTTCTTTGCGTTTGTCTTTTACTTTTACCAAGTGAGACTGAAATTTTTTGTTCATGTGTCTTTCTCACACTAGATTTGTGAGCAACTTGACTGTTTTATTCATCTTGTATTCATCTGGCATCTAACCTGATGCTTGGTGCCACATAGATATTCAGTGTTTATTAAACAGATTATTTGGATTCAACACATTGTGCTCATTTCTGTCTCTGCCATACCTGATATTATTTTCATCCCTTGGAATGCCCTTACCTGCTTTCTTACAAATTCAGATCCTTTCTGTCCCCAAAGATCCATCACAACTTCCCTTACTGCTCTAGTTCTTGGTGTTCTCCCCTTTCTCTGATTTCTCATAGCCTTTACTATTCATTGAAAATTGCATCAATTATAGCCCCTCAAGGGAATTAGTATCCTTGAGACAAAGGAGAACACTTTATTCTGCAGTATCCTTCCTAGTGCTTTATATGGTAATGAGGACATAATTTTTTCTCAATTCATATTTGCAAATTGAGAGGCAGTGTTGTATAGAGGGATAAACATAGATTTGGAGATACACTTATAGTCACCTGCCAAATTGCACCACAGATCCTCTGATATAAAATGAAAATAATGTGACTCCACAGGATAATAATTAACTGAAGTAGTATATATAATACCCATCAAAGAATAAGTTCATAACAAATGTTAGGTTTGTAAAAATATTTTGTCCTGTCATAATTTAAAAATAGGTAAATTGGACATTTTCTATTTTTCTTTATAGCATAAATCCCATAGTCACATGCAGTTTTTTTCCAACTTTTATTTTAAGTTTATGGGTACATGTGCACATGTGCAGGTTTGTTGTATAGGTAAATGTATGCCATGGTGATTTTGCTGCACAGATCATCCCATCACCTAGGGATTAAGCCCAGTATTAGCTATTCTTCCTGACAGCTGCAGTTTTGATTATGTGCAGTTCTCGATTGGTTTTTCCCCATTTAAGGTATTAGACCAGTGGTTCTCAACCTTGACTAATTAGAATCATGCAAGGAGCTTTTAGAAATCCCATTGCTCAGGCCATCCCTTCAATCAATTAAATTACCATCTCTGGGACTTATAATTTGTGTTTTGTTTTCTCTTTTTTAACTCCCTTTGTGATTTTTATATGGAGCCAAGATTGAGAGTAGTGTTAGACATGCACCTTCCCAATTCATGCTTTGAAAACAAGGACCTTAGTTCAGAGACTTGTAAGATAGGGCTACGATGAGGGGAAGAGTAGGCCCCACAAGTATTAGGTTATTGAAGATTTTGAAAGGTACAAGATGCAAAGGAGCCTGAGTTTCTGGATGAACTCAGGAACAAGGAATCCTAGAATACCTGAGAACAGAACAGCTGAGAACAGGACAGGACCATGGAGTAGTCTCTGGAATAAAAGAGTGGAGAGTATAAGAAACATAATGGAGGCAGGCCCCAGGAGGATTCAATCATGAATTCTGACCTTAGGGCCAATGAATAGGCTTCATATCTTCACAGAAAGGATTTACACAACTTTTATATATCATTTTCTGAGATGTCTGAATCCTAGAAAAAGATAAAGAACATCAGTATGTGGGGCAAAAAAAAAGTGGGGGGCTAAGGTAATGCTAATCAGACTACACAGTTCTAGAACTGCCTCTGGGTCTTTCATACATGACTGACAGTTCTTCTAAACCTCTATGTTACCTCTGTTAGAATATTGTTTCTGATGTAATTTGTGGAGAAACAAAGCAGGAACTGAGGCGAACATATATCCAGTATACTTTATAAGCACTAAATAAATATGTAAAAACTGAAATATAACCTGAGTTTTTAGTCATAATGAAGATTATTGGCTCAATAATCTAGGGTAGAGGTATCTTTTGGCTTCCATGGACCACTTTGGAAGAATTGTCTTGGGCCACACATA